GGATCTACATGAAATATATATATATATATATATATATATATATATATATATATATATATATATATATATATATATATATATATATATATATATATATATATATATATATATATATATATATATATATATATATATATATATATATACACACACACTTTCCGGGAAAGTTCATTATCGACTTTCCTGAAAAGTAGATATTTCGACTCTGGGAAATATTACCTAATTTTCCAAAGTAGATTATCATAGAAAACGGGAAATTTGTATCACAGAAAATGGGAATTATCTACTTTCCGTGAAAGTTGGTTATCTACTTTCCCAAAAAGTAGATTATCTACTTTTCTGAAAAGTAGATTATCGACTTTTGGGGAAATATTGCCTAATTTTCCGAAGTAGATTTTCATAGAAAACGGGAAATTTGTATCACAGAAAATGGGAATCATCTACTTTCTGGGAAAGTTGGTTATCTACTTATCATAAAAAACGGGTAATTTGTATCATAGAAAATGGGAAATATCTACTTTCCGTGAAAGTTGGTTATCTACTTTCCCAAAAAGTAGATTATCTACTTTTCTGGAAAGTAGATTATCGACTTTTCGGGGAAGTAGATTATCGACTTTTGGGGAAATATTGCCTAATTTTCCGAAGTAGATTTTCATAGAAAACGGGAAATTTGTATCACAGAAAATGGGAAATATCTACTTTCCATGAAAGTTGGTTATCTACTTTCCCAAAAAGTAGATTATCTACTTTTCTGAAAAGTAGATTATCGACTTTTCGGGGAAGTAGATTATCGACTTTTGGGGAAATATTGCCTAATTTTCCGAAGTAGATTTTCATAGAAAACGGGAAATTTGTATCACAGAAAATGGGAATTATCTACTTTCTGGGAAAGTTGGTTATCTACTTATCATAAAAAACGGGAAATTTGCATCATAGAAAATGGGAAATATCTACTTTCCGTGAAAGTTGGTTATCTACTTTCCCAAAAAGTAGATTATCTACTTTTCTGGAAAGTAGATTATCGACTTTTCGGGGAAGTAGATTATCGACTTTTGGGGAAATATTGCCTAATTTTCCGAAGTAGATTTTCATAGAAAACGGGAAATTTGTATCACAGAAAATGGGAAATATCTACTTTCCGTGAAAGTTGGTTATCTACTTTCCCAAAAAGTAGATTATCTACTTTTCTGAAAAGTAGATTATCGACTTTTCGGGGAAGTAGATTATCGACTTTTGGGGAAATATTGCCTAATTTTCCGAAGTAGATTTTCATAGAAAACGGGAAATTTGTATCACAGAAAATGGGAATATCTACTTTCTGGGAAAGTTGGTTATCTACTTATCATAAAAAACGGGATCATAGAAAATGGGAAATATCTACTTTCCGTGAAAGTTGGTTATCTACTTTCCCAAAAAGTAGATTATCTACTTGTCTGGAAAGTAGATTATCGACTTTTCGGGGAAGTAGATTATCGACTTTTGGGGAAATATTGCCTAATTTTCCGAAGTAGATTTTCATAGAAAACGGGAAATTTGTATCACAGAAAATGGGAAATATCTACTTTCTGGGAAAGTTGGTTATCTACTTTCCCAAAAAGTAGATTATCTACTATTCGGGAAAGTAGATTATCGACTTTTCGGGGAAGTAGATTATCGACTTTTGGGGAAATATTGCCTAATTTTCCGAAGTAGATTTTCATAGAAAACGGGAAATTTGTATCACAGAAAATGGGAAATATCTACTTTCTGGGAAAGTTGGTTATCTACTTTCCTGAAAAGTAGGTTATCTACTTTTCCGGGAAGTAGATTATCGACTTTTTGGGGAAGTAGAGTATCGAGTTTTTGGGAAATATTACCTAATTTTCCGAATTAGATTATCATAGAAAACAAGATATATCCCGTTTTCTATGATAATTTACTAAACAGAATTAGGTAATATTTCTCAAAAAGTCGATAATCTACTTCGATGAAAAGTCGATAATCTACTTTCCCCAAAAGTAGAAAATCTACTTTTCGGGAAAGTAGATAACCAACTTTCACGGAAAGTAGAGTATTTCCCATTTTTTATGATACAAATTTCCCGTTTTCTATGAAAATCTTGTGGGGTTCAGGATGTTTGGTTCACACTCAGGATGGAATGGAGAAAGGAAACTCACAATGTGCTCTCTATATACATGTTGTATTGGATGTACAATGCAGCTTGGTGCTGGGAAGGCAGCATGGTTACAAGCGTGATGTAGAGAGAGCTGGTTGGTGAGGACGCTCAGAGAAGGACAGCTTGTTGGTCGCCATGCTCGCCGGCGGGAGAGAGGACCGCCAGGCAGGCGGAGGAGGAACGAGGGCCGCCAGGCAGCGGCGGAGGAGGTGTTGCTAGCTGGTTGGTGGAGGTAGAAAGAGAGAGATCACCACGAGGTCAGGTCTTAAATAGCGGGGGATAGGCGTGGCTTAGCAGTTGACCCCCGCTCCGTGGTGTATGGCGGCGCTGGTTGACCTAGACCACGAGGCATACACTGGGGAATTGGTGGGGTCGGCTAGGCAGCGACAAACAGCGTTTGTAGGGGAGAATTCCACTACAATACTCCCCCTTCCCTCCAGGCGGTGTAGGAGACTTGTTGTCTGCAGAGTTGCTTAGCACATGTGAGGCAGAACGGGCGGTGGATGCCTCATGTGAGACAACGGCGATGGCGTGGATGAGCCGGTCGCTGGATACAACTGTCTATATACACACTATCTGTGGGAGAAGAGAGGGAGAAAAAGGGTGTGTGGAGGCGATGAATGTTGTGCTTCCCTCACGGCAGGTACAGAGTCGTCAGATGCGCCTGCTGGGGTGTGTGGGCCTGGGTCAGGAGCAGGGGCTGCGTCAGCAGAAGCGGATGAGGGCTCGTGACAGCAGCTGGGTCCACGACAGCAGCAGGGTGCAGGACATTAGCAGGGAGTACCTGAGGGAGAAAAGAGGGGTGTGTGGGTCCGCACTCAGGAACAGAGGCCGCATCAGGGGCGGCAGGGGTTACTGCTGGGCCGGGGTCGGCGTCTGAGGCAGGACGGGTGTGCTGGGGTCGGTAGGACGTGGTGCTTGGGGCAGGAAGAGGAGCTGGTGTCTGCTTAGAGTAGCAGAGCTGCTCTAGGGTGTCTAACCTGCGGTGTAGAAACAGTAGTTGTAGAGTCGATGAGAGCTGCTTCTGTGTGGATAAGCCAGTCTTCCATGTTGCTTGAAGACTGGGAGCGTGATCAGTTTCTCCTCCATCCTGTGTGAGTGCGAATCTCCGGGAGTCACCATTTGTGGGGTATGAGATTGTTTGGTTCACACTCAGGATGGAATGGAGAAAGGAAACTCACAATGTGCTCTCTATATACATGTTGTATTGGATGTACAATGCAGCTTGGTGCTGGGAAGGCAGCATGGTTACAAGCGTGATGTAGAGAGAGCTGGTTGGTGAGGACGCTCAGAGAAGGACAGCTTGTGGGTCGCCATGCTCGCCAGCGGGAGAGAGGACCGCCAGGCAGGCGGAGGAGCGAGGGCCGCCAGGCAGGCGGAGGTGTTGCTGGCTGGTTGGTGTAGGTAGAAAGAGAGAGATCACCACGAGGTCAGGTCTTAAATAGCGGGGGTAGGCGTGGCTTAGCAGTTGACCCCCGCTCCGTGGTGTATGGCGGCGCTGGTTGACCTAGACCACGAGGCATACACTGGGGAATTGGTGGGGTCGGCTAGGCAGCGACAAACAGCGTTTGTAGGGGAGAATTCCACTACAATCTACTTCGCAAAATTAGGTAATATTTCACAAAAAGTCGATAATCTACTTCCCCAAAAAGTCGATAATCTACTTTCCCGAAAAGTAGAAAATCTACTTTTTGGGAAAGTAGACAACCAACTTTCCCGGAAAGTAGATATTTCCCACTTTTTATGATACAAATTTTCCGTTTTCTATGATAATCTACTTCGCAAAATTGGGTAATAATATTTCACAAAAAGTCCACCCTGGCCCAACCTGGCCTACCATGACCCAACCTGGCCCACCCTGGCCTACCTGGCCCACCGTGGCCCACCTTGAAAACCCATTTGAACAAGCAATAACCCAAATATCAAATTTTGGTTAACAGATTCGTAAGCAGCATGTTCAGGAGTACCTATACTGAGATTTTGAGCAAAATCAATTTTTTGGACAAAATTGTAAGGCCCCTTAAAGGATTTTTGGCCAAAAATACTTTTTCTCTCAGAACTAAAATATAATGTGCCAAACTATTTAAGTACATCCAGAATAATACACAAGCACCAAGAAATGACCTCGAAAACCCATAAGTGGCGAGTAATTAGCATTGCAAAAGTAATTAACATTTTCTAAAAATCATTTGAACAAGCAATAATCCAGATATCAAATTTTGGTTAACAGATCCTTAAGCAGCATTGTATTTAATGGTTTGAAGTTTGTTCAACTTAGCAACTGAGGCCTAGGGTCAGCTTGTAGCAGCCAGCCGATTGGCTGGTGGAGTTGTGCTTCGAGTAATAATTTTAATTTAATCTCGTATTCCTATTCTGATAATTTAACTTAACTTCAATGTTGATCTGATAATTTTCACACTTCTGGACGAGAATGGAAAAATTAGCATGTGCAAGTGGTGACAAATATCATGAGTAAATTACAGTACTCTACAGAATTTCAGCAACATATCCCATGTACACCCACAGCACTGCGAGACCACCTGGTGAAGGGGAGTTTATGTCAAACTTTTTCATGTTCCCTTGATATTTTTATTACCAGTGAGTTTCACTTGCTAAATTTTACATCTCAAAGTGTGGAAATTATCACAAGTTATTATCCCTTAAAATATAAATACAACATTAAATACTTAAGAACTATGATTACACAGCTTATGCCTGCCAATCTGTTGCCTTGCTACAAACTGACACCAAGACAGTTGAAAAGTTCAAGTGAACTGACTTTACATTTCACAATTGAAGAAAGATTCTTACTTCAATAAATCTGAAATGAAGAGTTCCTGTAACATCAAGTGCCAACGTTGACTATCACTGGTGTGTACCTCTCATCTGGTGTGTTGCAACATTCTGCCTTGTCTTCCTGTCCAACATTCTCCCAAGCAACTGGATCTGTCATCTGCAAAGAAAAACCTTGAATAGCGAATACTAGCTACTTATAATATTACAAGTACTGTAACATTTTTGGACAAAACTTAAAGTATGAGGAATGTTGCTCAAGTACACTATTCACAAAGTCTGAACTTGTAAAAAAACAATTGTAACTAATTTTTATTTCAGGAAGTTATGCAGCATGTTATTTTATTAATTGTTATATGTAAATTTTACAGTAACAACCTAACCTAACCCAATTCATATCATTTAGGAATTTAAATGTTACAGTACACCTTTTCACATATCCGTTGAGACATTGTTACATAACTATTAGACAAATTTCATAACCGAATGACAGACAGAACACATATCGATTGACAATCTAAAATATCTTAGTTCATGCTAACGGAAATGTTTGTCATAAGTTATGAAGTTGACAGACATGAACAATAAACCGACAGTCTACATATAGTTTGAGAATGTAACAATTGAAGAATGACATACCACCAACAGTCATTTTCGATTGTCATTCGATGTGTTGTCTGTCATTCGGTTATGAAATTTGTCAAATAGTTATGTAACAATGTCTCAACGGATATGTAAAAGGGTGTATTTCTTAATCTTATAAGCATGTGTCGCTTTACAATGGAAAAGGGTTGTAGTAACGTAAACAAAAGTTTTTTTACTTGGGGATTCTCAACTCGAGAAGTTGAAAAACACTCGAGTTTATATACCGGGTATTAAAAAAACCCCGTTACATTAAGCATCAAATATTGAGTAAAACGAGACCCAAATTTGCCACCAGACTAGCAACAGTCAAAGTCAAATACTTAACAATTAAACTAAGCTGTATCTACTGTATTTTATTAGTTAATATGGTAATGTACGAGGAAACCACTACCACCAGAAGGAGTGGTTTGATTTTATTCACTTCTTCCCACAAGTTATTTGAATGATAGAAAGTAATAAAAATAAGACAAAACACAACCTTATATAACTAGTCCTAACCAACCAAAGAAACCTACCTAACCTTTTGATATCTGAAGCAATCATTGTATAATTTACTTTTCTGTGGGCATGAGCATGTTCATGTCCGAGCAGGCTGGTTGTAAGCAAACCGCAGATGAACAGCTGCAGATTTATCAGGAATATTTACGGTAAATAATTACTTCGCGTAGAGATGTCATTTTAGTGTCTTACATTTTTCACCATGTTAAACCCCAACAATTTACTTTATCCTTTATATCCTGGCCACTACAGGCGATTTATGATTTTACATAGAAAAGACATGAACTAAATAAAACATAAGGTCGTCATATTACTATCCAAAGAATACCCTGTGGGAAAAAAAAGTAAGTCGAACTACAGGTGGTAATACTTTCCTCAAATTACCATTAATATCCAAAGAACAATTATGGAAAATGCAAATGAATTCCACTATTATCGAAAATCAAAACTATAATGCACAGGTTAGGTAAAGTTCTAATAGTTCTGTGCATTTTTCATGTTCAGTATCCTGCAAATAATATCTCCAGAAATTTTGATTCAATTCCTTGGGTTATTTCTGGTGCTTACTGTCCCTACCTTAACCATAAATCCATTGTAGGTTTATCTATTTCAAAGTACCGAAGGTATCATAGGTATAGAGGCCAATTAAACTAGTTCACCATTCCTTTACAGTACAGTATGTAACTTGGCACTACAGTAAGCTCACCGGAGGCACAAAAGTTAACAACTATCAACAAATTCAAGTAAAATAATTGTTTCAGAGATCCAGCGATTTTTATTATATTTTTTTTGTTGGATTCGGTAGTCTAGATCGAATCTAAAACACTTCTATGGCCTTTTGCGTGCTCATGATTACTTTGAGAAAATCTAAATTAAATAAAAATTTCATGAATTTATTTTTCTTTTATCCTCTTCACCACTGATCGGCTCGTTAGCCACTTGGGCGATCGGTCACGTTTGTTACGCACTGTTGGCAAGTACTGGGTGTAGTGGACGTCTCCCCTACAAACTGGGTAGCAGCCACCACCTGCTATCACATTCCAACGTGCCGTTGCCTAGCAACCAAGCGAGAGCTGTCCCCAGATGTTACCGTATCTTAGCAACGGAACTAGTCACCGGCGACTTCTCGGGTTTTCCCAACATGACTCATAGCGGCTGCTGCTGGGTATATAAGCTCTGTCTCTCCATTGAGATTCATTCTGCCCATTTTCCTGAACAAGCAACACCTCCTCCAGCAAGCTCCTAGCTGTTAACATTTATTCAACCAGGAGGCCAGCAACAGGCAACATCTTCTCTAACGAAGCTCCTGCACATCTACCTCCTTTAACACGCTACTCACCGAACGTCTTCTACTGAGCAGCTCCCCACCACACGGCATCTCCAGCACCAGACTGTCTATCATATAACTTATATATTATACAAGAAAACCACATTAGAGTTTCCTTCCATCCTGAGTGCTAGACAACATTAATATCTCGATACCCCTACATGGGCATGCACCGGCTCCTGAATGTACCTGAACCTGCTTCAGTGTTGGTCAAGTCTGCTCTTGAAAGAGCTCACACTCGATGCCGTCAACACTTTCTGGCAGATTGTTCCAAGAGTTCACAAATCACTGAAAAAGTTTGCCCTCACAGTTTTCTGGACCTGCGGCTTATTCAACCTTGAGCTGTGACCCCTTGTGGGGCGAGCGTCCACCAGCTCCAAGTAAGGACACTCGACTGAGTAGTACCCCTCGAGATGCTTATACACCTCAATTAGGTCACCCCTTGCCCGTCTGTTAGTATAAGCTAGGCAAGTTCAGGCGCTCCAATCTCTCAGGGTAGTTGTGCCGAAGTGCAGGCACCATTCTGGTGGTCCTCCTTTGAACATTTTCAACCAACTGACAGTCCCTAGCATATCTCGGGGACCAGACGGTGTGACAGTACTCCAGATGGGGAACCACTTCACTCTAAGATCATTACGAGGGACGGACCGTCTACATATCTGAACGACCTTCCTATAAGACCCAATAATACATTTGCCCGATTTACCTTCTTCTCGCAATAGCCGGAGAACTTCAGCTCATTGTCAACATAAAACACCTAGGTCCTTCTCACACTGTCTCAAATAGTGCAGTTTCTTCATCCCATTGGGATGCCCCAGGTGTATCATCTTACACTTTGTGACATTGAATCTCAGCAGCCATTTCTTCGACCATTCTCGGAGCTCAGATCATTCTGCAGCTCTTCACAGACCGCATGGTTCTTGATTTCCCGAAATAACTTGGCGTCATCGGCAAACATTTGTATAGAGGAGTGTACAACGTCAGGCATGTCATTTATGAAACAAACAAACAGCAATCCCAATACATTGCCCTGTGCTACCCCACTTGTGACAGGTACAGATGATTTTGTGCCATTAATCACGCGGTCATGTAGAAAGTCTTCTATCCACGCTAGGGCATTTCCCCGAATTCCGTACCCTTCCAGTTTGATTTTCAGCCTTCCGAGGGGTACACTGACGAAAGCCTTGGCAAAATATAGGTATATATTATCAATGTTACCTCCCCGTTCTAGAACATGGGTCCAAATATCCAATACCTTGAGCAATTGTGTTAAGCAGGAGCGTCCCGGCATAAAACCGTGTTGGCAATCCTTTACAATGTTGTTTTGTAGTGTTCCATCGCAGCATCTCTGATAATACTCTCAAGTATTTTACACATTATGCTGGTCAGGCTCACCAGTCTATAGTTGTTCGTGGAGTGACGATCGCCCTTCTTGAAGATAGGACTCGCATAAGTCACTTTCCATTCACTGGGGACCTTTTGTTCATCCAGGCATTTACAAAACAGGATCTTCAGGAGCTCGGAAAGATCGTTGCACAACTCTTAGCACTCTGGGATGCACCATTTCAGGGCCAGGACTCTTATGGACCTTTAGCTTTGACAGTTTATTTCTAATACCCTCTTCTGTGAACACAATGTGGGTCAGTGCTGTGTCGAACCGTCTGTCTTGAAACGCAGGAAGGTTAATCGCATCCTCTCTTGTGAACACCGAGGAAAAGAAGCTGTTCAAAGCCTCTGGTTTATCCTGGTCAGAATCTGCATAACTACCATCTTCAAGCCTCAGGTCTGATACTCCTCCTGGCGTTTTTAATTTCGACTTTGCATAGCGGTAAAACGCCTTTGGGGTTGACTTTACCTCACTTGCAACCAGCCTCTGGAACTCCTTTTCAGCCCTTCTACATTCTATCTTTGCTTGGTTTCTGGCTCTTGCATACATCCTCCTGTCCTGCTCATCGTTTGACCCAACCCACGTCTTGAATTTCTGGGTTTTCTTAACTTTGTCGACCGCCGCACGGTTCATGTGTAAGGATCCCCTCGTATTCCTGGAGGCACAGGGTTTGGTCTTGGGTATATATTTATCGATCAAATGGGTGACTTTACTAGCTATGATATTTAGCGTAGTGTCTGCGTTCTTGTGCCTTAATGATTCAGGCCAGTGGATACCCCTCATCTCTTCCCCCATCCCATTGTAATTTCCCTTGTAATATTTGCACCTTGGCCTGTCCTTATCTTGAACTAGGCAACAGTTAAATCTGAAAGGCTAGGGTTGAGCTTCGTTGCGTTGTCTATTAAGGCTCTTAAGTTCCTTTGATTTAGTGGGCCACAGTTTGGGGATCTGTAGATATACCCGGCAATAAGTAAGTCCCCTCCCTTTAATTTAATTTTACACAACTTGGACTCTTCATAAATATCCTCTCCCTGTACCCTCGCCTGACTGGCTCTAAGGTCTTGCCTAACATAGATATAACAACACCCCCTCTTGCAGGTTTCTTGAGAAAGGTTCGTAAATGAGTTATACCCAGTAATATTGAACTCACATTCCTCTGGGTCGATTCTCCTATTCTTGTACACTCGCAATAAAAAGTATCGGTGCATACTGTAGTGTGAACAATTTGAGACCAGTGACGATAGGTATTGGGAAAGGCGAGTTGTTCCAGCTGTATGTTGGTAGCTCTGATTGTCAGCCATATGGCAACATCTAATGGAGGGGGGGGGGGGTTATGAGGATACACTTACCAACCCTCCCGACATATCACAGTGTATAAGTATCGTTTCGGAACTCGTCGATCTCACCCTGCACCGATACTTTTTGGTGCGAGTGTACAGCAGTTCTACAACTCCTACAATATCGGGTTGGTGTACCTTCAGTAGTGTTTCAAACTCCTCTCTCTAATCAAGGAGCGTGTCAGTATTAGTGTACATGACATTGAAGCCAAAATTTGTTCTCAGTAATGTCTCTGCTCTTAGTAGTAACTCAGGCCCCCTTCCATTCTCAGAAGCTGCGGCATTTGCTAAGTGCACTGTATTTTGCAGAGTGTGGTTAGAAATGTCAGTGTTTACACGGTGTTCGCCTCCTCCCGGCTGGTAGGCAGAGCAAGTGTCACTCACTTGGTGGGGGGTAGAGCGGGTAGAGGGTGCACTGCTGCCCCCTGGCTCTTGTGTCGGCACACTTGCTTCCACTTCCCTCCCCCTGAATATAACTCATGTACAGTCGTCCCTGTTCCTCTTTGACTCCCCCTTCTTCTGCTTCTTGTGCTGTTCCCTCTGCATTACCGTGCGATCTAGGTGAATGAATACACTCCGAAATGCCTCGCTCCTTGCTAAGTTTTTTGCCTGCTGAATAACCTCCCATTTCTCCTCTTCACTCACTAGTATGATCCTGAGGGGGCGAGGCTTGTCCCCCTGCTTTTGTCCCAGCCTCCTCACATCCTAAGGGGTTGATGGCATCTTCAGAACCTCTGGACAAATATTTTTAAACTGCGTCTTATCGTGTGTTATCCTACTCTCAGTTCCCTCCGCCTGGCTCTCAGGGATTCCCAAAACTATTACAATGTTCCTGCACCGGAAACATTCCCGTTGCTCCTCCTCTACCCTAACAGTAGGTCCGCTAATTGCCATTTCTTCGACACACTTCTTCAGAGTCTCTAGCTGCTGTAGAACCTGTTCTGATCCTGCATTACTCTCCGCCACCTCCCGTGGCCGTGTTAAGGCCTCAGCATAACTCCTCTTTATAACCACCTCCACTCTATCGACTACTTCCTCAGTCTTTGCAACGATCTCTTTCCCAACTTGTTCTATTTTGGCAACCAGCAAGGATTCAGTTTCATCTATTTTCGTCGCAAAGGAACTCGTTCCCCTATGGCTTACAATCGCCTTTTTCACCTTGACTATGCAGTCAGAGCAGTACCAGCAACAGCTTTCATGCTTTACGGCAACTTGTATCGTCCTAAGCTCTGCATTGCTTAGGCCTGTACCATCTACATCTATATCTGTCGTCACCCTGCAGTAATCACATGTCAAAGCCCTCATGGCTGTGGCTGTTGTGGGGGTGGGGAGGGGGGGGGGGCATCCAGTGTTGCCCTCCAAAACAGTTTGAGTTATCTTCTGATTTCCCCTTTTTTTCCAGTTCTCCTCGACGAGTTGTTGGTATCTATGTGCCATCCCGATGTACACTGTATCTTGCTTTGAATGACTGATCATATGCCCAGGTAGGGAACGAACTTGCTAACAGCAATCACAAAGCAATAAGAATCCAATTAGAATTTCAGGGCAACCACAAGGAAAATTCCACTAAAGTCCCAGATTTTAGAAGGGCAAACTTTGATAGTTTGAAGAGGCAGCTGAGACAAGGGGTATCACGCTTGGGGGTGAATTACATGACCTCACACAATGTACCCACAGAGGGCGACCTCACCTTACCTGGAGACCTGACGGTTGAGGAAGACCTGATCACGAGATCTGAGGTTGAGGAGTTCCACAACAATTTAAATAATGAGTTACTTAATGCACAAAGGCAGAACATACCGTACAGAAAACTCAGATAAAACAACAATGACCCTAAATGGATAAATCATTATTTAAAGAATATTATTTGAGAAAGGAAGGCTGTAGGTAGGAGAATAAATCGTGATGAAGTTTGCCTCCGAGATTATTATAAGGTATTGGCCAGTAGGGTTAAGACCGAGATAAGAAAAGCAAAGAGGAATAATGAACTGAAGGTAGCAAGGGAGGCGAAGGCAAACCCCAAGGGATTCTATCAAATGTATCAAACTAAAACACGAGAACAGATTGGACCAATACAGTCAGATACCGGCGAGCTAACTGATAACGACGGAGAAATGAGCAATAATCTGAATAAATATTTTTAAACATATTTCACCACCGAAAATTTAAACATGATACCCGAGGCACCGACTCTATACAGAGATAGTGAAGAAAATAAATTAAGCGAGATAGTAGTGACTAGTAACGATGTTAGTAAGCAAATAGACAAACTAAAGCCTAATAAGTCACCTGGTCCTGATGAGGTATTTGCCAGAGTATTCAAGGAATGCAAGGAAGAGCTTAGTATGCCCATAGCAAAGTTGCTTAACATGCCCTTAAAAACGGGTGTATTACCAGAATCCTGGAGGATAGCGAATGTATAACCGATTTTCAAGAAGGGAGATAGATCACTATCCTCTAACTACCGTCCAATCAGTCTAGCATCAACTGTAGGCAAATTACTGGAAGCAATCATTTCAAACTCTATTCGAAATCACCTGGAGAAGCACAAATTGATCAATGATTCCCAACATGGCTTCACAAGCGGGCGTTCATGTCTAACTAATCTATTAACATTCTTTTCATCTTTTTCCGAATCAGTGGACGAGGGGCACAGTTATGATGTGGTATATCTCGACTTTAGCATAGCCTTCGACAGAGTCCCCCACGAAAGACTAATTAGAAAGGTAGCAGCGCATGGCATCAAAGGTAATATCCTTAAATGGATTAGGGCGTGGTTACGGGACAAGAAACAGCGAGTGAGCATAAACGGCACTAAATCGCATTGGAGCAACGTCACTAGTGGAGTTCCCCAAGGCTCAGTACTCGGACCATTATCATTTATTATATACATAAACAACATAGATATCGGCGTAGACAGCAACATCAGTAAATTTGCTGATGACACTAAAATGGGGAGTGTAATTAAATCTCACGAGGACTCCGCAAAACTACAGGAAGATCTGAACAAATTTTTCGAATGGTTTGAAAAATGGCAGATGAAATTCAATGTGGACAAATGTAAAGTACTCAGTATGGAAGATGTAAACAGGGAAACCAGATACCAGATGAACAACGATGTTATTGAGAAATCCGACTGTGAGAAAGATTTAGGAGTAATGATAAGTAAGAATCTTAAGCCAAGTAAACAATGTGTATTTGCTCGAAACAAGGCTAATAAAGTACTTGGGTTCATACAAAGGAGTGTTAGTTGCAAGACTAGCGAGGTCATCCTAAAACTATATCTTGCACTTGAGACCTCATTTGGATTACGCAGTTCAATTCTGGTCACCGTATTACAGAATGGATATAGAAACCTTGGAAAGAATTCAGAGGAGAATGACAAGACTAATCCCGGGCATTAGGAACCTTGAGTACAGAGACAGGTTAAAGCATCTTAATTTGCACTCCCTCGAGAGACGTAGAGTAAGGGGTGATATGATAGAGGTGTATAAATGGAATTCAGGGGCTAAACAAGGGGGTCATTGCAAAGGTACTAAAATTATCCAACTAGGAGCAAACTCGTAACGATGGCTTTAAATTAGACAAATTCAGATTTAGGCGCGAAATTGGTAAACCTTGGTTTGGAAATAAGAATAGTGGACGAGTGGAACAAGTTACCAAATATCATCATTAACTCGAATACGCTGGATGGATATATGAGCAAAAGGGGTTGGGTGTAAATGGGACTGCCCAGTATGGGACAATACAGTAGGCCTGCTGCAGTTTCCTCCTTTCTTATGTTCTGGCATTTAGAAACACTTCTAATTGTCGGCTTAATAATAATAATAATAATAATAATAATAATAATAATAATAATAATAATAATAATAATAATAATAATAATAATAATAATAATAATAATAATAATAATGATCCTTATTATTACCTTGATAGTTTCTTTTAATGAGTCCTGGTAGCAGGGCCTTAACGTCAAGGTCCCTTTAAAAGCCCGTTTCGCCTACAGGGTACAGGCCATTATGGCTTATGTGTCATCCACCGGGCAAGCACAATTTATTTCATCTGAGCAAGATATATACCCCTCAATGGGATGACTTCCTTAATAATCACATCTACACCCACAACGCAGCAACTCCCCAGCATCTTACCGCACTGTACATACAATATATGTAGAGAAAACGCTGCTGTGAGTTTCCATCCTGAGTGCTAGATCTCCTTTATTGTACGTGTGTATGTGGTCATAAGAAAGAGAAAATTGACACATAAGAAAGAGAACTTTGACTACTGGCCACATACGCAAGGCTACAATATCCTTACATATATATTCCTTTATACTGTACCATTATCACTATCATTAATAAAGCCATTTCTTATATGAAGCACATACTGTATCTACAGTTATTTGGTTCCCATTGTGGAGGAAAAATATATGTGCTGAAAGGACAGAAGAATCTCACAACTATAATACTGTAATGTACTTTTGATCTGCAAAGAAACTAACCTCCAGACAAAAACCGATTGTCTCTCGTAGCATTCGGTGGTTTCTGTATTCAAGATCACCAGTGAAGTGTATGGGATTGTTGTCATTGATCCACGGTGACCAAGCATCACATGGGGTCAGGGTGGACGTAGGTCCAAAGGCTGGCCATGGAAAAAAAATTAAAATTATATATATATATATATATATATATATATATATATATATATATATATATATATATATATATATATATATATATATATATATATATATATATATATGTGTGTAGGTGGACGTAGGTCCAAAGGCTGGACATGGAAAAAAAAAAAAAAAAATATATATATATATATATATATATATATATATATATATATATATATATATATATATATATATATATATATATATATATATATATATATATATATATATATATATATATATATATATATATATATGCAAGTAAATCACTGTAGGTGCGAGTGATCTAGGTATATGCTGATAACCACAAGGAAAGAAGAAAACACGAAGTTCCCAAGCGCTTTCGTGCCTGGTTGACAGGGGTGTCAAGGTCAAACACGACAGAGTTGATGCCCTCGCCAAACTCGCGTCTAACAAAGACACCGTTGAATACAATTTGGGTCTGTCAAAAAGAACCCTTAAAACTGTAATTAGGAAAGAACTTATTGATGAGTTTGATGTAAGTAGACAAGTGCAAACAGGCACTAGTCGATCCATAGGTTACCATGATGAGATGTATCAAGTGAAACATGTATATGGAGCAAGTAACAAGATCACTAGATTACAAGATGTTGTAACCGCTAGATTAAAGTTAGGATATAAGTACCTTTGGCAGTATGTTCCTCAAGCAGATGTAAACAAAACTAAATGTATAGTGTGTGGCCAGACATATGGCCACACACTTGAACACTACGTCCTCGACTGTGTGAAGATAGAACCTTTTAGGGACAGGTCCAAGCACACTGTGTGTGAAATGGCACAACACTTCATCTCTAATGGCAAGATAGCCGACATATTAAGATTGTATCCACTTTTTTGCACTTAGTAACTATATCAATTCTCATGTACAGAACCAAATACGCAATGTGCTTGAATACTTCTCACGTAAATGTGAATAACAAAGTGTGAGGCCAGACTTACTGCCTCACACGCCTGTACTCACGCAATTGTGAATAAGTTACCCTTTATGTATAGAACTAAACAAATAATGTAAATGAAATACTGTGTAACATTCAGTGCCATAATATCCTAACAACGGGGGTTAATTATTATGACCCTTTGTAAACTCTACTCTGTAATCCTTTTGCGCTACCGCTCACAGGATGAGTGTGGGGTGCACAATAAAGTAGCCGCTGTAAGCGGCAAAATCAAAATCAACCTATATTTGTTTTTTCGGACTGGGTCTGTCCCAATTAGTCCGATTTATTGAGGTTCTACTGTATATGCCAGTGTTTACAAGAGATTAGGTTTTGTCTGTGGTTGGTACTGAATGTTGTAACAAGTGAATCATTCTTCAGAAAACAACAGACAAAAGGCAAAGATTCTTACAAATAAAAACTTTTTGTTGCCTACCATGAAGAAGTAAGTACAGGTAGCTGTTTAGTTAAGAAATTATATATATATATATATATATATATATATATATATATATATATATATATATATATATATATATATATATATATATATATATATATATATATATATATATATATATATATATATATATATATATATACATATATATATATATATATATATATATATATAAATATATATATATATATATATATATATATATATATATATATATATATATATATATATGCTGATAACCACAAGGAAAGAAGGAAACACGAAGTTCCCAAGCGCTTTCGTGTAGTTCACATCTTCAGGGGTGACAACCTGAGTCGAGGGTGCCAAGGGCAAGTAGTGAGGATAGAGAGTCAGTGATGATGAGACTGTCAGTAACAGTGGTTTCAATAAATTTAATAGCTGTGAGTATGGTAACTCATTCAGTTTGTAGAGTGGATGCCCAGTTGTTAATTCTAACTCCTTTCTCAATTATATTACCGTCAGGTTGAATCACAACAATAGCACTTCCAGCCCTCCCACAGGCGGTGTTAGAGATCCATCAGTGTAGATGGTCTGTGTGATATTATCATCAGTCTGTAGAGTGTGTATGTGTTCAAGAGCTCTCAATTTGGCAGTGTGTTGGAGATAAATGCTTTGTATAATTAATTTTTTAGGCGGATGTCGGTATTGTGATATCGAAGGGAACTGTCCGCCAGGGTGGCAAGAAGCGCTGTTGTGTCTCAACTTTGTACAGGTGGTCTAGTCCAAACATCTTCATATGTGTAGCTGTAGTTTGGATCCATTTAGACTCAGTAGTCCCATGGTTCATACTACTGACATATAGGAGTGGATGGGGTGGGGGGGAGATAACACTGCTTATCTGAACTATTTAAAAAAAAATCAGTTGTTGTTAAGTTATTACTGCACTTCAACAACTAGGGTATTTAAGTGTATAACAAGGTTATTAAAAGAATATTACATCAACAATAAAAAAATATGAGAGAGAACTCTCTGGGTTGAAAACTCAGACTATAAGTCTGGTTGTCACCAAGATGATTGTTATTTACTGTAAAGTGTTATGTGTAAGTAGCCACAGAATTTGTCTTATGAATAAAGAGAAAACTATATACTGTACAGTACTATAAAGATAAAACTAAGAACAAATAAGTGTAGGAGTATATTATATGTTAAAGATGAGTGTTTATCTGGGAGCAGTTGACAGGGGGCGGGGGGTAGGACGGATGGGAGACTCTTTCCAACTCTCTCCCTCAATGTTCCTCTAACTGTCTAACACGTCTTTGTGCAATTTCACCCCAATTCTCAAATACAAGAAATTTTGGATCATTTGGTGCCAGGTTGATAAAATATTATCATAAATGAATCGGCTTTCCTGAAAAACAGAATCCCACACTGAACACCGTGAGTCATTTGTTTACAAAGGGCAAACAGCTAATCGGCTTACCACAATGTCTGTCTTCAGCATTTATCAAATTAGTACTGTACATTCCTGTATTCATCATCACTTAATAAATACTATTGCGGTGTATTTATCACCACTTAATAAATACTATTGTAGTGTATTTATCATCACTTAATAAATACTATTGTAATGTATTTATCAACACTTAATAAATACTATTGTAGTGTATTTATCATCACTTAATAAATACTATTGTAGTGTATTTATCACTTAATAAATACTATTGTAATGTATTTATCAACACTAAATAAATACTATTGTAGTGTATTTATCACTTAATAAATACTATTGTAATGTATTTATCACCATTTAATAAATGCTATTGTAGTGTATTTATCACCACTTAATAAATATTATTGTGGTGTATTTATCATCACTTAATAAGTAATATTGTAGTGTAAAGTATTATGCATCTGCCTATACCCTGGTTTATTTATTAATCATTTGTCTTAGTGTACAAGTTGCCAAATTAAGCCATCATATAACACTCGGAGGCAGTAAATAACGGTGTCTAGAAGGTATCTTCACATTAAATACTTTACAGTGTGTTATAGTGACCTCAGTTGTAAGCTGGTCTGCTGAAAGCTCTCACCCGAACGCATCCTGAACAAATAACCTTCTGATACAGCTTATCCTTTTATTTTCAAGTCTTATTACAAATATCATACAGTATTGCGTTTTTTCTCTATTACTGAAGGTATTATATAGCAAATCTGATTCGACCACTGTATAGTATTCAGAAAGTGTTGTTCATTTCACATTTTTTTGTATTTAATCTTCAACATTTCTTAAACATGGATTAAAAAAAATTATTTCTGGTGATCAGAGCATCTGAGCAGCTAGACAGCCCACCAGTGGTGAAGAGAATAAATGTAAACAATACAATAAAAAAAATTTGACAACGAGTTATTTTTAATTAAATACTTCAACAAGTTTATAAAATATCACCAAACAATGAAAGACCTTCAAAAAGATGTAACGTATACTTTTTCTTTTATCCTCTTCACCACTGATCGGCTCTTAGCCGCTTAGGCAGTTGGTCACATCTCTGTTATGCATTGTTGGCAAATAATGTACTGGCATGTGAATATATATCTGAACCTGCCCCAGTGTTGGTCAACACTCCCCACAATACCTCCAACACTCCTGTGGCTGGGAGTTTGAGTTCCCAGAATTGGCTGCTTTTTATTGTTCACTGTCACAGTGCACACCACTGAATAATCATCACTGTCATAGGCCACACCACTGAATAATCATCACTGTCATAGGCCACACCACTGAATAATCATCACTGTCATAGGCCACACCACTGAATAATCATCACTCTCATAGGCCACACCACAGAATAATCATCACTGGCATAGGCCACACCACAGAATAATCATCACTGTCATAGGCCACACCACTGAATAATCATCACTGTCATAGGCCACACCACTGAATAATCATCACCGTCATAGGCCACACCACTGAATAATCATCACCGTCATAGGCCACACCACAGAATAATCATCACCGGCATAGGCCACACCACAGAATAATCATCACTGTCATAGGCCACACCACTGAATAATCATTGTCAATACACCACTGAATAATCATCACTGTCAGGCCACAATTCTAATCATCACTGTCATAGGCCACACCATTGATTAATCATCATTGTCATAGGCCACACCATTGATTAATCATCACTGTCATAGGCCACACCATTGATTAATCATCATTGTCATAGGCCACACCATTGATTAATCATCACTGTCATAGGCCACACCATTGATTAATCATCATTGTCATAGGCCACACCATTGATTAATCATCACTGTCATAGGCCACACCATTGATTAATCATCATTGTCATAGGCCACACCATTGATTAATCATCACTGTCATAGGCCACACCATTGATTAATCATCATTGTCATAGTCCACACCATTGATTAATCATCACTGTCATAGTCCACACCATTGATTAATCATCACTGTCATAGGCCACACCATTGATTAATCATCACTGTCATAGTCCACACCATTGATTAATCATCATTGTCATAGGCCACACCATTGATTAATCATCACTGTCATAGTGCACACCATTGATTAATCATCATTGTCATAGGCCACACCATTGATTAATCATCACTGTCATAGGCCACACCATTGATTAATCATCATTGTCATAGGCCACACCATTGATTAATCATCAGTCATAGGCCACACCATTGATTAATCATCATTGTCATAGGCCACACCATTGATTAATCATCATTGTCATAATTAACATTGATTAATCATCAATTTGATTAATCATCATTGTCATAGGCCACACTATTGATTAATCATCACTGACACCATTGATTAATCATCATTGTCATAGTCACACATTGATTAATCATCACCACACCATTGATTAATCATCATTGGCCACACCATTGATTAATCATCATTGTCATAGTCCACACTATTGATTAATCATCACTGTCATAGGCCACACCATTGATTAATCATCATTGTCATAGTGCACACCATTGATTAATCATCATTGTCATAGGCCACACCATTGATTAATCATCACTGTCATAGGCCACACCATTGATTAATCATCATTGTCATAGTCCACACTATTGATTAATCATCACTGTCATAGGCCACACCATTGATTAATCATCATTGTCATTGGCCACACTATTGATTAATCATCACTGTCATAGGCCACACCATTGATTAATCATCATTGTCATAGTCCACACTATTGATTAATCATCACTGTCATAGGCCACACCATTGATTAATCATCATTGTCATAGGCCACACTATTGATTAATCATCATTGTCATAGGCCACACCATTGATTAATCATCATTGTCATAGGCCACACTATTGATTAATCATCACTGTCATAGGCCACACCATTGATTAATCATCATTGTCATAGGCCACACTATTAATTAATCATCACTGTCATAGGCCACACCATTGATTAATCATCAGTCATAGGCCACACCATTGATTAATCATCATTGTCATAGGCCACACCATTGATTAATCATCACTGTCATAGGCCACACCATTGATTAATCATCACTGTCATAGGCCACACCATTGATTAATCATCATTGTCATAGGCCACACCATTGATTAATCATCACCGTCATAGGCCACACCATTGATTAATCATCCACCATTGATTAATCATCACTGTCATAGGCCACACCATTGATTAATCATCATTGTCATAGGCCACACCATTGATTAATCATCATTGTCATAGGCCACACCATTGATTAATCATCATTGTCATAGGCCACACTATTGATTAATCATCACTGTCATAGGCCACACCATTGATTAATCATCATTGTCATAGTCCACACTATTGATTAATCATCATTGTCATAGGCCACACCATTGATTAATCATCATTGTCATAGGCCACACCATTGATTAATCATCATTGTCATAGGCCACACCATTGATTAATCATCATTGTCATAGGCCACACCATTGATTAATCATCATTGTCATAGGCCACACCATTGATTAATCATCACTGTCATAGGCCACACCATTGATTAATCATCATTGTCATAGGCCACACCATTGATTAATCATCACTGTCATAGGCCACACCATTGATTAATCATCATTGTCATAGGCCACACCATTGATTAATCATCATTATCATTATCTGAACCTGTGGCAACAAAGCCCATATAGTAATACAGCCATAAAGCAGCTGTGTCTATGCTAGTTGTGAAGGGGTAGCACAGAGCATTTATAATTATTGACCAACCTTCCTATGTTTGTGTACAAGTGATTTAATCTCATCAAATTAAAGGTGTACCCATTTCTGGGTCACTTTTCTGTGAATCGACCAAACTTTCACCAGAAAATAACATATACTGAGCCTTGTGCCTTTACAGCTGGATGGTTGCATAAATTTAAGTTGGTCCATGGCAAGAGCTGTTAAACTCTCTGTCAAGGTTATTAAATATTCACACCATAAAATGGCCAGCATTTTTAAAATCCATAAAAGAATTGTGGATCTTTAATAATTTATTTCATCAGTTTAGATATAGTGGCAAGAGTAACAGCAGGTACAATATTTATTTATATGATTGATGAGCTTTGTACTAACTGGTGGTAGATGTTACAGCATAGACAAGGGTAACGGTAGATACAGAACAATTAGAGAATTATATGACTGATAAGCAAAATACTTACTGATAGTACTTGAGACAGTTGTAACTTCTTCACAGGCACAGTAGAAGGAAATTTCATAATTAAAACAACCTGCGACATTGTCTACACTGAGACACTTCAGACCATGTATGGCATCACAGATTATATTTTGTTGGAGATCAGTAGCAGGAAGTTGAGCTGTGAAAGGGAGCTGGTTTCAGTAAGTTATATTTTTAAATTGTACATTGGATTAAGATTATCTGTATACATTGAAAACTACAGTATCAGAAAGTCCCTGACTTATGAATGTCCAACTTACGAACGCCCGCCAATACAAATGGGGTTAAACTTTAAATTTACTGTATTTCATTAACCTGATGACTTATTTTTTACTTTCATTTACTGTAATTTTTCATTCTATTTCTCGTTTTTTCTTAAATTAAGTGATTTTAGATGTACAGTAAACCCTCGAAGATCCGGACCTGGGAAATACGGATTTCGGAAGATCCGTACCAAAAATTTGGGGATTGATGCACCATTCAAGCAACTTTCAGAAGCTTCTTCCCAGGCCTTGCCAATGTTGTCGATTGCATGAAGAATGTTGAAGCGGCGCCAACATTCTTGGGCCATAGGTTTATTTTCTCCATCTGTAGCCCTTAGCAGCTGGGCCATGGTGCACAATAAAAAATACTCCTTGAATGCAGCGATTACACCTTGGTCCATAAGCTGCATCAGTGTTGTCATGTTAGGAGGCAGGAAGACAACTCGAACATTGTCATGTAAGTCGTCGATATCGGGAGGATGAGCTAGAACATTGTCAACGACAAGAAGAATTTTGAAGACAAGGTTCTCCTTGGCACAGTATTCCTTCATTGCAGGGACGGCGTACACGTTTAGCCACTAGCTAAATATGGAGCTGGTTGTCCATGCCTTGTTATTTGCCTTGTAAATGACAGGAAGGTGTTCCTTGGAGTAACCTTTCAGGACCCTTGGGTTGGCAGTGCGAGAAATTAGCATACAGTAGGCTTCAGCTTGAAGTCGCCAGCAGCATTAGCGCCAAGCAGCAGTGTCAAACGGATTTTTGCTGCTTTAGAACCTGGCGCTCTTTTCTCTTTCTTTTGAGATATAGGTTCTATCTCGCATCCTCTTCCAAAATAGACCAGTCTCATCCACATTAAAGACTTCATTAAAGACTTGTTTCGCTGAGTAGCCTTCTTCCTCGACAATGCTTTTGAAATCAGGAAAGAATATATCAGCAGCAACCGTATTTGAACTAGCACCTTCACCAGTCATTTTAATGTTATGGAAGTTGTAACGATGCTTAAAACGTTGAAACCATCCTTAGCTGGCCGTAAAGTTCTCTTCCTTTGATCCTTCACCCTCTACTGCCTTTAAGTCATCAAACAAGGATTTTGCTTCATGCTGGATAACCATAAGGCTCACAGGGGCATTGTGTTGATTCTGGTCCTTCATCTTTTCAATAACGGAACTTCGAGAACAACTTGTCTTTGTTGCACTCAGAGAACTACAACTTCCAGCACTAGCCTTAATCTTGTCTGTCGATCTGGATAGTACCCACTGGTGTAGGGGTTAGACCTAGAGCAGCAGCTTTGTCCACAGTATGTTCTCCTTTTTCAAAACAGGTTATTTCCTCCATTAGCATCAGTATAGGATTGAGCAAAAACTCTTTGAACAAGCAAGACTGGAAGCTTAACAAAGACTGGCGTCGCTTGGGTACGCTGTGTGACGTTCAGTGAGTGAAAGGTAATGCTCCAAGCTATTAAAGCGTAGCGCGGCAAGAAAAGAGAGTGGTGAGTCGTACAAAGTAGTCCGTGATGAAGCAAAGACAACGTTATATTGAGTCGTCCCGTTAACCAAATTATTGGGATCTAAATAATAGTGATGTTATAACGAAACGACGTTAAATGGGGACTTACTCTACAGTAATCTAATGTGGATTAGAAATATATAAGATAATTATATTATAAAATAAAAAACAAAGACCATAGTGTGTATGTGAGAGAAGTGAACGTGTATGGAAGTGGTTCTAGCCAAGGCCTTGGCTATAAACTATGTGGCCGATGCACCAACCCAGCAGTCTTTTATATTATATCTCCGTTAGCCAGAATCTCTCTTAACCGAAACTCTTCGACAGAAAAAAAGGGGCACATTTTCTGGAAAATTCTGAGAAAATTTTCCCAGTACCCGAAAAATTCCAGAAAATTTTGGTGGTAAGGGAGTCTATTTTCCGGGGCTGAGAGATGAAAATCAGGCACATTTTCTGAAAATTCAGAGAAAATTTTTCTGGTACCCAGAAAACTCTGGGGATGGGGGATATTTTTCCGGGTTTGAGAAATGATGTAATGCATCATTCTGGAACTTCAGACAACATTTTTCCGTTACCTGGAAAATTACTGGGATGAGAGATTTTTTCGGCTTTGAGAAAGTCGTCTCGTTACTAAGAAATCTCTCATTCTCGGAAGAGCTCTACATCAATTGTTCCGGCTAACTGAGATATGACTTTGTAATGAAACTATAAAACTTGTGAATAATTATTACAATAATCTGTTGTGACTTAGAAACATGGAAAATATAATACAAAACAATACAATAAGATAGAATAAAGAGCACATGCCTGTGAGTCGGCTGAGCTGGTCGATTGCCTGAACTATGTCACGAGCTGGATGCATGGGAGGTATGCGTTTGGAAGAACTTACTCTTTGTACAGTCACAATCAAAAGTTTTGGCATCCCCTGGCTGGGTGTCCGCCGAGGCCAGGGTTGAGGTAAGACTGGGTGGTCAGACGCAGACTAGTTCAGCAATGTGGTAACGAGGCACTACGATGGTGAGGTTCACATTCCACCACCACAACACTCCGAGATTCATAGCACACGAGCACAGGAAGGAACTTATTACGAACTTTGCCATGTCATGAACTTGCATAACAAATGCATTCATAACATTGTTGCCACACATAGCAATAACATGTTAAGATTGGAGCATGAAAAACTTTGCCCGGTCTCAAAACACTGGCTTGGAACCACGAGATGCGTGTCCTCATATTATACATGAATCATCAGTGCAGCATTATATAAAGGGTGGCCGGCAGCCAAATTTCGTCAAGAGGGTATTATGTATTATATATTCAGTGCTGCTCTGTTATAATGAATTGTGTGTAAAGTGGTTTATGGTTTATATACTGTGCACATATTAGTTGTTTATTAAGGATGGAAAACCAAGTGCAGTTTAACTTTGTGAGGAGTCATTGCCTACAATATTTTGTCCTATGCTAAATACAGTATTTTTAAAGTCAGTGATCATGTATATTATATATTATCTTGATTAAATTTAATAGTTCATGATGGAAACTGCACATTTATTATGGTGAACTTTTGTTATTAAATTTTATTTAAATCTTTTGTGACGTGTATAATCACAAACCTTCACTCCTGAACTGTTGTGATAAAGTAAGAGGGCTGTGATTAAACCCATGACGCTCAATTTCGTCCTTATTTGTTTTTGTAACATTTGCATTTAACATTGTTTGTCGTGTAGTGAAGTAACATTAATTTTAAGTAATAAATATTAAGGATTAAGTTGTGCAGAGTTGCCAATTTGTTTTTTTTGTTGTGCCATGTGTGCCCTCATTATTATATTAATCCTTAGCGTAATTCAAGTTGCTATGTTATGGCATAACAATAGAAACATTATAAACATTATTCATGGCTACCTTATACTAGGGGGTTCGGTGTTTATTAAAAAAATAAAATAAATATTTTCAAACTTTTTTCCCAATTGATAGCATACAATAAATTCTTATACGTAAAGTTTCTCCCCATATAATGGCACACATCGCCATGCCTCAAGTATTGCCAAAAATTAACAAGCAGTGTTGTATGTCCACATAATACAACGTGTTATTAATGTTTCCCAACTTAAACAAACACCAGAAATTATAAAGTGTCACATAATGAGGATTGCTTACTAAACACGGTGCACCTGTGCCCTAAACTGTGTTAGACGCTGGCACCCCCTCTAGCCCCTTACTTATGTAATTAAATTACAAGGCATCTGTTGTTCATTGGGTCATAAATGCAACCCTGTCTTAAAAGGACACCATATGTAGAGGCACCAGCCCACACCCCTATCACCCTTGAAGTAAGTGACAGTTACTTAATTTTCAGCAGGAAGGAGGGAGGGAGGGAGGGAGGGTCATGGAGGAATACTGCATGACCGATGCATGTGTGTGCAATTTTTGGGGGGAGGGATGCAGGATAAACCTGCATCAACAGCTATACTTACAAAAAACTTCCCTGCAGCTTGCATTGGCAGGATGTTCGCATGACAATTTGTTTTGTTTAAGAATTTGGTCCACAGTCAACATGAAACCATCTTCATCCTCATTTATACTACTAACGTATGGTGTCCAATCATCACATCTAGAATTGTTTTTAAATCACATTAAAACCGGAGATAAATGTACAGATCTATGCAAATACATTGAAAAATTCTTGTACAAGCACCAACTTCATACATCAAAGAAAATAGTTTAAGCAAATACAATCTTGTTTTTCAACTACAACATCAGTGAACTTTAGCTATTACTTTTCAATTTCAGTTGTCTGATGTGAACAAAATTAGAAACCTTAATACAGTATATTGTTTGAACAGTGAGTAATATATCATCTTACATGTGGAAATAATAACTGGCATTAAGTATCTTACTATGTAGGTTTTTTGATAAAATGGTTGGGGCAATAACTTACAGCTCTGTGGTTGAAGTTTCAGTAGGAACAGGAGTGGATAAACAATGTTCCAAGGGGACACAGCTTATACTGTTGTCTTGGCAGGTACATCGCTTACATGAAGGTAGATTGTATGAAACTCCAGGCTGTAAGAATAATTTATTGGCTAATGAAAATCACTTTAGTCCTAACATATACATAAAAAAGCAAAACATAAATTAGCTGAACTTCCACCTACAGTGGGGTTTCATTTTATGTGATTCTGACGTATACGGTTATAGCTTACGTGATTGGTTGAAATGTGACGATAGTTACAGTATAGCTTGCACGGTAGTTGTGGGTAGCGGTATAGCATTAAATTAGTGATCTTATGGTTATTTAGCCCCAAATTTAGTGATTTTAGTCATTTTAGTTATTGAACATATTTTTATAATATATCAGTACTCTACTGAAAAAATAAAAAAAACTGGCGAACGCAACAACAGCCAGTTCCACCATCTCTCACCTCCAGCACGCTGGTGTCATCTCTTACCTATTAGCTCTCATTAGGCCGATATCAAATCTGATTAGACCACTGTACAGTATCCCCATTAAAGGCCGCAGTATATATTTCAATAAAAAATAAGCTAATAGTATTTTATAAAAAGATAATTAATTTTTTAATGAACTGTACTTAGGGTAAGTAAGTAATTAAGTAATATACTGTAGTACAGTTCATTAAGATACAAAAAATATTATAAAATATATTACAGGTCGAAAATCGATTTTATGGCAATAAATGGTCCGCAACCTCTGATGTTCTGGACAGTTTTACGGTGGTGGAATTTCATATTTACCCCTCATGTTCACGGTAGGTTAACCTTACCGGGCTGTGAGGTGTTATGGTTAATTTTGAACTCATAAAACAAACTTATCATAAAGTAAAAAACATAAAAGAAAATAAGCTTTCTTTATGTGTTAAGAATTCACGCTAAGTGGGGTAGGTTGGAGTGAGGGATCTCAGTTGTCTCATGTGTAGTCAAACAATTGTAACCAAATGGGAATAATTTTTTTTTCATATTATATTATTATTATTTTGAGTTATTCCTCACATTTACTGGTATATATTATATTATATTATTCCTTATACAAGTTGGTATGTGGTGGGAATTAATTTTCACAGTTGGTACCACTGTTCATAGCATTAACTGTTGTGGCGGTGGTCAAGGCCATTCGTTGGTGTGAATCTAGTGTGTTGTTGCAAATTACGTCTAGGATTTTACCTATAACTGAGTGGCTTTGAAAAGTCGATTATTATTAAAGGAATATATCATGAAATAGATTAAGATGAATGAATGTCTGTGTGTTCGTGTGTGTGTTAGTGTGTCCGCACGAGAATCTCGGAAACTACTTTACCGATCTGTAGTGATGACGGATGGTGTTATAAGTAGTGATGATGATGGATGGTGTTATATGTAGTGGTGATGGATGGTGTTATATGTAGTGATGATGGATGGTGCTATATGTGGTAATGATGGATGATGTTATATGTATGTTATACCATACCGCTGTACCGGTATGGTATACTCGCATAAAATGAGACCCCACTGTATAAAGTATTTCCTGTCTATAGATGTGTGAAGAAATCAAATAGTGTTCACCCAATTTTCATTAATATTTAATTTTTTTTTTTAAATATTAATTGCACATCATTTGGCAATAATAAAACACTTGTAATAAACAAATATCTGGATGGGCTTTCCAATAACAAAATTTCACAGCATTTTTCTACACCGAGATAAAACTTGTAATCTTGTCGGTAATATTCCAAACATCTGCTGAATAAATGCGTTTCTCTGTGACCCATTAACTGTTTTGTTATCATATAATAAGATTCTGAAATATTATTTTACATACCATTATAGCAGGTCCAGCATCATCTTGTCGGCAAGTGCACTCAGCCTCAGGAACACAGTGTGTGTCATTTATCATAAACTGACCGTATGGACAGGTTATATCGTCGAGATTGTCAACACAGCCATATGCACAGTTGTCACCATTCTATGGGTAAAAGCAGTCTTATAATCATACATGTTTAAAAGACATTCACTGAAAGTTGTTTTGTTTTTAAGAGTAGACTCAAACATGGGGGTTACGCTCTTGAATAAAACTATGTTGAGCATATGTGTAATGGGCAAATTTAATACCTTATGACCAAAATTGGGTTACAGGAAGTTAAGAAAAAAAAGGTCTTAACCTAACCTCAGGAGTGAATATGCCCTGTATATTGTACTGCCCATGCATACATATACGGGTGTGGACAAAATTCCCTGAACACCTGTCTGGTTACTGGGAAAATTTTCCAAGTGTCTAAACTACTCATCGTGCACAGACACTAGCCCACATCCTCAGAATGCTTCTGGGTACTGGAGAAAGTTTTCCAAGAGTCTAAACTTCTGGAGTCTATAAAAACAGCTATAATTAAGTTAGAAACTCCACTTCGTTACTAGAATAATCCAGAATAGTTTATCTAAATGTGAGGTAAAATAAGTATATTTAAAAATTAAAAATCCTCTCACAAATAATCAGAAACAAGACAACAAAATTTATAAGAAATGTAAAAGTGTACCCGCAAGACAATTCCATGCTTTGTTTATACAGTTAACTTTGATAACAAAGTACACACATATATATATATATATATATATATATATATATATATATATATATATATATATATATATGTATTTCATTAGCCCAATAAAGCTCGCGGACTTCTACATATAATCAACACCTCACCCCGCCAGGGTTCGAACCCACGATCTTATGATTGTGACCAGGGAACGTTACCTCTGGGCCACCAGGACACTAAAAGCAATCCTAGACTCTGTTATATTTCACATGAGGCCTGTTCAACGAGCTTATGGCGCCGTGAACCTCTAATGGGGACTACCCATGCCACTTAGGTGGGTGATCAGAGTAACGTTTTACCAAATCTGGGTTTGAGTCCTGGCGGGGTGAGGTGTTGATTATATATATATATATATATATATATATATATATATATATATATATATATATATATATATATATATATATATATATATATATATATATATATATATATATATATATATATATATCCTTTTCCGATTCAAATACTAGCGAAGGTTCTGCACAAATATTGCAGCATATATGAGGGGCCCAGTTCTTGTCCTGATCTCCAATCTTACAGCCAAAATAAAGATGATACGCTTTCCTAACCAAGGCAGTTATAGCAAGCTTTTGTGATGCAAAAGTCAATTCTCCACAAACATAACAAAAGTTATCTGCACTGTTCACGCAATTACTAGGCATATTTGTTCAAATTTGGTTAAAAAAACCATCAATGTCAAAAGCAAACACTGAAAAGAGACTTTATGACTGTATGACTTCCAAGAACGAATTGATGCAATCCAGTAAGTAGGGCGATGTATTCCTGAGTTATGATTGCACCATCCACTTTCTGTTCTCAAGGTGGCCAGAATAGCAAACAGTGCCAAAATTCATTTAAGTCGCACAATAGGTCCATTCAGTATAAGCCTGTCCCCCCCCACAAAAAATTATACTGACCTCCACTCCCCCTTCTCATAAGTAGATGCAATTGTCAATTTTATGCATCATTTTTGTACTCAGTGCCCCCAAATTAGTAAAGATTGACTACTCTCATTTCTGAAGCATTTTGGCTGTAGACCAGTGGAATCAAACTCTGGACCTCTGCATGTGAACAGTTTGGAGTACACAAGAAGGCCTTGCACCTATATAGTAGGATGGTGAAATGGAGTCCATCTTTACTTATCACAAGGCAGCTCAATATTAACCACCAAAATTTTATATAATAATCAAGGAAACAATTTACAAGCCCTGACAAGTTCTTAATGCAAACTAAATCACCTTAATTGGAAAAAAAAGACAAAAATAATAATACATTTCACCATAATTACCACATTATTTCGGTTCAACTGGTGTCTGGTTAATAAAACATTATTGTAAACAATAAGTTTTCATAACAAAATCCCACACTCAACCCAGAGGAGTTATTGTGTCATAGTTAGTTCCCGATGATATGTTTAAATAGACGAACTGCTGATAGTGTTTATTACAGTACTTGTGATACCAAACTACAGTATATCTTATATAACAAAAACAGTAATGAATCACACAAAAATATTTAACTTATAACTTAAGAAAGGTCTAAACACGAGACTCATAAGTAGAAAGTACAAAACTCATTTTATTACTATGGGGAGTGTGAAATTTGGGAGGAAGGTGCACGAATGTCGCAAAACGGGGAATTTGGGGGTCCGTGTGAAACTTGTAAATCGCAAAAGTGGAGCTGCCAGCAACATATGTGTTCTTAAAGCCTAGCGGTCACTTTGGATGCCTTGTGATTAAGAAGATAAAATATACTTACCATGCATTCACCGATACTATGTAGAACCGATAAATGATAGTTGCATATTCTGTCACATGGCACAGCACATGTCTTGTACTTCTTGGGCGGTATGCACTCCGCAATCGGAGCTGTGAAATACAAAGAGAACTTAGAGAAATTATCAGCTATGAGGATATCTTTATCGAAGAATATGGGAGCAGAGCAGTATTTAAGCTCTACCACCAGTAAACACAATACTGTTTGAGAAGTATAGTATTATCTTTTTTTACGTTTTCAAGGCCAAAACATTATTATTCCGAAAGGTTGATTGATTGTGGTACAGTACGTGAAAAAACAGATCACACAAACGAAAAATTTGCGATATAAAATTTTTTAAAATTCGAAGATATTAACAGCAACTGCTGTGCCCTCTTTGTTTACAAATCTATCAATCACCTGCTTGACAATAATTATTTCCTGTTCCGGAATAATCAGAGATACAACTTAAGGCATCCAGAGCTACTAAGACCACTCTCCATGCGCTCCTCTCAGTCCCAGACCTCCATAAAATATCAAGGTGTGAAGGTGTGGAACAACTTATCCCCACCCATCCAAGCAAAGACTACGCTCCCTTCCTTTAAATCATCTCTTAAAATATATCTATTGTCTAAGTAATAATATTTCTTGTAACACCTACTATATTTACAGTACCTGCTTTTACTGTACCATCAAAACCGTTTTATCGGAAATTATCATGTAAATAGAGAAGTAATTACCATTGCAATAAACATAATTGCCAACTAGACATAATCCTGACAGCTCTGTCCTCTTGTTCAACCTTATTACTGTACAACCCATGTTGTACTGCTCCCTCATTATACTTATGTTTTTCAATTCCACTGTAATTTATGTATAAAAATAAATAAAAATAAAAAATAAATAAATAAATAAAATTAATAAATATTGAAGTGATAACCGTGGTAACATTATGAGATGTTCTTATTTCCACCATGCTTTTGTACTATTACAGATGATACTAAATGTTACATAACACTTCCTTGAGATAAATGTATAGTATAATCAGGTGCCTAAAAGAGAGCTCAGGTTATCAAATGGCTCAGCCATGTTAATATTGTTATTATTATCCACTCTGTATCTGTGTTTTTCTGGCTAAATAAACTGTTTTAATTCAATTCAATTCAAAACAACACTGTCCCATTATATCCCCCCTCCCTCTCTCCCTCCTCGCTGCCAGGGAAGTTTCTAGAGGGTCAATATATAATTTTCCTTACTTATTTTTTTATTGTTTTATCATTTGAAAATGTTAAAAATTATTTTTGGAAGAGTTTAGATTTTTCTCGATTTATCCCCACGTGGGGGTACTGCCAGCGGCACCCTAACCCAGGGCTTAAGGGTTAAATTAAGGAAACCGACTGAGGAAAGATAATTGAAAAATATGAAAAAAAAAAATCAGATCTTTGTGCACTTTCCTGCAGAAATTCCCACAATATCAAAGTTATTTTTGGAGATTTGGCAATTAAATGGACAGCTAAATGCCCCCCTCTCACGTGCATGCTCAAGGTAATTCTGATGTGTATCAACAGCCTCTAGTAAAATATTCATAAGAAATAAACAAGAAAAGATAACTACTGTTTTCTCTGCTGCTATCTGGCATCTTTCTGTTATGTTGCTGACTGTAGAGCGAGGAAGGAGGAGCAGCTGGACTCAGGGTTGCCAGATTGGCCTTTTTATGGCCAAATATGAGATATTTGGCCTTTTTGGAAGGTATTTGGCCACCAAAATTTCGATTTGGCCATATTCAAAATTTGGCCAAAATTTGGCCATTTTTTAAGTACGTACTAAACGCGTATTGAACGCGTTTACAATACGTAGACTGAACGGAGTGCCGGCCCGCCGGGCAGCTGGTGCCCGGCGGGCACTCAGAAAAACTCTTTGCAATAGAATTTACAGTAATGATGGTACAGACAAAGGCATCGAAAAAATTGATTTTGGAGCCAAATTTCAGCAAGAAGTTAATAGTCATCTAAAGGAGTTCAAGGAGAGACAACAAGTTAAAGAAGAAGAAAGCAAAGTCCTTGATGTTAAAAGAAGAAGCCGTATATTTATTGTTGAGGCCATCGATCAAGTGCGTTCCAGATTGTGCAATGCAGCTGAAGCATTCAAAAATCTTTCATTACTTAATCCTTTGAAGGTATTAAACCAAACAGCTAAAGGTGATTTACCTATGTTGCATTTAGCTAAAAATAATTCAGATGAAATAGAACAACAATATTAGAAAATTACTGTAACAGATTGGAGACTAGAAAATGTGTTTGAAAATAATGAAATTCCAGATGACACAACCAAATTTTGGCTTGGTGTCTATCATCATGAAAACTTCAAGGAATTGGCAGCTTATGCACTTAATTGCCTAGTCACACCAGCAAGCAATGCTATTGTTGAACGAATATTTTCTCTGGTAACTGCAATCAAAACAAAACCAAGAAACAGAATGCAAATCAATCTTCTAGATGCAATTATCAGAATCCGAGCGCATCTCTTCGAGAATTCAATCTGTTGTAAGGATATGCGTATAACGGATCGAATGATAACGAACTTCAAGTCTGATATTCTCTATTCGTATGGTGGTAGAATTGGTGTTGCATCAACTTCACACTCACAACAGACTGCACGAAGCGCTCAAGAAGAAGTTGACATAACGATATTCCTGTAACAAGATTGAGGTGAGTTATTTTACCTTATGCCTATTATTATTGTTAAATTGATTTATTTAGAAATATTTCAACGTTTTGTGTTTACTTTGTTGTTTTTAAAGGTTTCTAAGTTTAATTTGGAGAGTATGTAGGTTTTTAAAAACAATTTTACCATTTGACCTTTCTTTGGCCTTTTATTCCTGTGTTTTTGGCCATAAGCAACTGAAACCATCTGGCAACCCTGGCTGGACTAGCATTCAAATAGGGAACTCAGTTCGCTCTCCACTGTCGAAACAGTTCGTCGTATGACTCATTTCTTGCCGCAGCCCTTGCTCCAGAACATTTATTCAAAAATTTATTTTTTATTACATTTTCAGAAATTTATCCACTATTTATGGGCCAATAAAAAAAAATTGTCATTTGAAAGGGCAAAAAAAAAAACCTTCGAATTTGTTGGTCGTACTTTTTTGTTATTAAAAAAATAGATTAGGAGTGGTTGAATATGATTTTTTTTAATAATTTTATAAATATATAAAAAGTAATTCCAACAATTCGTTAATTATGTTGATAACTATCACATAAATAATATGCAAGAAGACTCTTCATGAGATAGCAGAGGCATATCAAAAATAAATTTCTTGAAATTTCGATTTTGTTATAATAAATTTCCAACCAAAATGCTTGAAACTTGGATATAATCAATACTATATAGATATACATAACATATAGGTATATAAAAATCACGAAAATCGGATGATAATTAAAATTGTCGAAGTCAGTATCCTTAAGGGTAATGTGTAGAGAAGTACAGTAGCATTCGACTACTGCCTTATGATTATATAATATTGTATAAAGGAGCTCCCCGACTTACGAAGGCCCGCTGATACGAATGGGATTAAACTTGAAATTTACAGTATTTTATTTACCTGAGGACATATTTTTTACTTTCATTTACTGTATTTTGTCATTCTATTTCTTCTTTTGTCTTAAATTAAGTGATTTTAGATGTATATAAGGACTTAGGCTTTGATATACCGGTAGTGGGATTTTAAACACTGTTCTGTAAGTATGATATGCACATAGCATGTGTTCCGACTTACGTACAAATCAAACTTAAGAACGTCCTCAGGAACAGAGCCCATTCATAACCCGGGAACTCCCTGTATAGAAACACCCATAAAAATTAAACAACAAGAGTTATGAAATTTGACAAAGTTTAAATAAAATTTAAGTGATAATTTCAAAATGAACAAGAGAATACCAAAGGCTAAGAAACTTACGTATCATTTGTTGTTGTGTTGTGGTCTCAGGAAATTCTGTCAAAAGTATAATAGAACCATTACAATATGTGATACTATATAATGCAATGAAATATAAAAAAATCAAATAAATTCAATAATGGAAGACTACCATTTAGTATTTTCTGTAAATAAGTGTTGTAGGAACAATCTAGTGCTTTAAAAAAAAAAATTCTCTCCAGAACCTATAAGTGGCACTGTACACAAAATGTCTCTAGGTTGTAATCACTGGAAAAACAAATAAGAAGCTTCTAATAATTTTTCTTCCATTGATATTAGGAGTTACTCTTTGGTAGAGAAGAAGTGATAAGTACTGGCTGCATTGTCTCCACCCTCTTATAATCCTTATCATATGAGAAGGGGGTGTTGATGGTACAGGGGTAATGCGCACATCTCTCAACAATATTTCAAAGGTTTGAATCATGCCTGGGCCGGCCATAACTGAGAAGGGTGTTATCCAGTGTGTCCTGAATTCTGTTTTTTTTTCCAGTACTAACCTCAGTTCTCTCTTGAAATGCCACACTGCAGTCTTACCAAAGCACTGTGAATACTTAAAAGTTTAGATACCAGAGGAGAGCACTGTACGACAGCTTCCCTTACCCTAAAACCATAAGGTTATGGGAAGCTTGGCTGCACCAGGTGCACCTCATTACAGTGTAAAAATCAGACTGGACCCGGACATTTCTGACCGTCATGGGCATTACCACAGTTAACACACACTGCAAGAACACCGTGCTCTAACTTACAACAAGTGTGGCTGACATGGCCATACATCTGACGATGGAAGCATCGTCTAGGGTTTGGTACATATGGTTTCACCTTAAGAGAGATCCAGGCAACCTTGATAGAGGTTGAAATTTCAAAACAATCAAATGTCAATAACAGAGTTGGTGTAGGGTTAAGAGCGCCATTTTCTTTCTTGCAGAACCTATCCATTTTCACCACCTTTTGGACTCACAGCTCCTCCAGAAGCTTCTCCTCTGAATATTGGAGCAGCTCTTTAGAGAATACCACCGCTCGACACTGGTTAAAGGTGGCATGTGGAGCACAGGAGACTGGGGCACCAGGTACCTCAGACAGGGTATGGAATCAAGCACTCTCCTGGGGAGAGGAGACCTCCACTAGGAGGCTACCATCTTGCTGGGTAAATATTTTTGTGTCACTCCCATAAATTCTTACAACTGACCTGTGAACATCAAAAATGTCCAGCGGCTGCATACTCAAAACCCCTCATCAGTTTTGTACAGTAGCAGAGATACGGTACCGTAACTTACAGACTCCTTACATTCCAATAAATTTCCCATACTCAAAATTTAATTATGGGTCTGTTAGCAGTCTGTAACTCGAGTGTTTACACTGTAAATTCAGTTCTCTTGTCCAAAGAGGGTTGGTATAATTGTGTAACAGTGGCATCACATTTTTTCTTACAAAAAGTATTTTTTTCATCGGTTTTTGGTATAATGCAATCAATAGTCATCCTAACATGACCTTTACCCAACCTAATCTTTAACTAACCTAACCTTTTCATAGTCTAATCTTTATCTAAGCTAAGCTAACCTAACCTAACCCTTACATAACCTAACTTAACCTTAACCTTGGTGGTAGGGAGTAGGTAGCTATCAAACAGGGAGGTACTACCGCCTGCAAAAATATTGGAAGCATAATGTGTTGTCTAATGGTAGACCCTGCCGCCATCACGAAAATTTACCAAGTCCCAGGTTGCTGATCTGACTTTCTGTCACATTTACACACAATTGCAGGGTCTCAATTGTTTCTCTTACATGACAACACATACATATATTGTTTTTCATTATTTATTTATTTTTTTTTAAATTGTTGTATTTCTTTATAATTCTTTATTATTATTATTATTATTATTATTATTATTATTATTATTATTATTATTATTATTATTATTATTATTATTATTATTATTATTATTATTATTATTATTATTATTATTATTATTATTATTATTATTATTATTATTATTATTATTATTATTATTATTATTATTATTATTATTATTATTATTATTATTATTATAATAGTTTCCCCCAGGCCTGATGTGGGTCGGTGACCTGTGCCAGGTGAGCTAATCTCCGTAAAAAAAAAAAACCTAACCAAACCTTTACTTAACCTAAACTTTACCAAACCTAACCTTACTTAACATAACCTAGCCTAACCTAACCTAACCTTCACTGAACCTAACTTTAACATGCCTTGCCTAACCTAACCTAATCTAAATTTACCTTACATAACCTTACCTTACCTTACCTAACCTAACCTAACCTAACCTAACCTAACCTAACCTAACCTAACCCTTACATTACATAACCTAACCTTACTTAACCTAACCTTACCTAACCTAACCATAATTTACCTTACCTTACCTTACCTTACCTTACCTTACCTTACCTTACCTTACCTAACCTAACCTAACCCTTACATTACATAACCTAACCTAACCTTACTTAACCTAACCTTACCTAACCTAACCTAACCTAACCTTAATTTACCTTACCTTACCTCACGCTTACATAACCTAACCTAGCCTAGCCTAACCTAACTTAACCTAACCTAACCTAACCTTTTCTTTTTTATAATCCATTCACAGAGATAATCAAAGGTTATAATACACAATAGTGGCATCCTAAGTTACCTTTATATATCATCAGCAGATTTATAGATATGTTGGAGAAATGATTATAAAAGTTTGTTATCTCTGCAAATGTATTTTTTTAAATATAGATATTGAAATTTTTCTTGATAACTTAATTGTTTGTCATGTGTGTTACAGCTTTCTTAGGTTAGGTTAGGTTAGGCTAGGTAAGGTTAGGTTAGGTTAGGTTAAGACACTAATTTTGCAAAAAAATAAAATTACTATTAAATGCATCGGATAAAAAACCTCTGAACATAATTATTTTTCTAAGTAAAAATATTGCTCTACCACTGTTAATTTTTACCCCATTTTTTTAATAGGTTTGATAAACTTAGATTGTGTTAGGTATTATTTAACTCTGAGTCATGGGTACTTCCTGGATACTTGGCAGACTAGCTTGTTATAACTTGGTCCTAGCAAAGGCGAAGTCTAGGTAAAAATGTTTACATGACCTCGTATTTAGCTTTCATCACTGACGGACATCTACATCTATACCACATTAATAAGGTCTATCTGCAAGTTTACGCAGTCATAAAAAAAATATTTGAACCATAAATGTGGACAATAAAAATCTTCTATTTTGGTACAAATTACTTGAAAAGTTGCAAGAAGACATAAGATGCGTCTGTAGTGGACGTCTCCCCTACAAACTGCGTAGCAGCCCACCACCTGCTATCACATTCCAACGTGCCGTTGCCTAGCAACGAAACTATTCACCGGCGACTTCTCGGGTTTTCCCAACATGACTCATGGCGGCTGCTGCTGGGTATATAAGCTCTGTCTCTCCATTGAGATTCATTCTGACCATTCTTCTTGAACAAGCAACACCACCTCCTCCGCCGCTGCCTGGCAGCCCTTCGCTTCTCCTCGCCTGCCTGGCGGTCCTCGCTCCCGCCAGCGAGCATGTCCTTCTCTGAGCTTCCTCACCAACCAACTTTCATTCTGCCCATTTTCCTGAACAAGCAACACCTCCTCCAGCAAGCTCCTAGCTGTTAACATTTATTCAACCAGGAGGCTAGCAACAGGCAACATCTTCTCTAACGAAGCTCCTGCACATCTACCTCCTTCAACACGCTACTCACAGAACGTCTCTACCAAGCAGCCCCTCACCACACAGCACCTCCAGCACCAGACTGTCTATCATATAACTATATTATACAAGAAAACCACATTAGAGTTTCCTTCCATCCTGAGTGCTAGACGACATTTATAATATCTCGATACCCCTACACGTCTCTTCCATTCTGCGACAAATGTAAACACATTCAAGCCTCTTCTTCTCGTAAAAAAAAATAACTTTATTCCCTCCCACCCACCATGGAGCCCAACAAGGGGCGGTCAATGCCATAAATAAGACCCTGGTGACCCCAGGGGTAGCGGGGAAGCATACGCGGGTATCCAAGACGGCACCTCCTGGACCATAGGCTTGCTAGGTCCCCTGATGCCCACTTGACCCTAGCCACACTGTGACCAACCGATTGACTTGATCGGGCCCAACCAAATCACCCACTTAGCTGGAATAGGGGGCCCAGCAGGTGTGTTGCTAGCGGCAGGGTATGGCTTCGCTCAACCTCCAGGACTCCCGTCTCCCAGCATTATGGGACACCACACACGGCAAACACATGGTAGAGTATTCCAGCCCTGGTGGTCTAGGCTGGGAATGATGCTGCCGGTCTGCTCTGAAAAATGGCAGCAGGATTGGAGCGATTTTGTCTGGACCCTCCCCAGTGACCTACCCAGTATGGGAAACAATTTCCCTCCCTCTGGTACTGCTCACCGGAACATCGGTTTCGCAAATCCACCCACAGCATCAAGACGGCTCTCACTGAGTGGATACTGTAGTGAGAATGTTTTCTTGTAAAAAGAGCTGAAACTTTTTAAATAATTTTTCCACTTGGGAATATAGGGCTCCTGCCAATGTAAAATTATACTATACATTTTAGCATCATGAATCCCAAAATAAGTTTTTGAAAATAAATAATTTTCGTGCAATCTATGAATGAACCGCGAGAATTATCCCGTGAGAACTTTTCTGCAGTAACGTAAGAAAAATAAGACTACCACATGGCTCAGTGATCAACAAGAAGATAACATGTACTATATTGCTGTCACTCGGAATAGAGTATGACGATCATCCAGCTATGATACAATGAAATGAGTTACTGTATCAAAGATGTCAACTTCGTTGGTGAGCTCTGAGGTGACATGAGAGGCCGATACAGGCTCGGCAGAGCTATCCACAGATATTGCACATGTCGGGGGCTACATGTAGTGCGTTATTCCAATGCCGGTACTTATATGCCTCGGTATGCAGTCGGGCTAACTTGAAAGTATTGACACCTTCTCGTGTGGTGGT